GGTAGTCAGTCGATGGAGAAGGAGAATGGGGTATATACTACATAATGAGTGTGGATACAACCATCTGGGGAATGGACACGCTTGATCTCTGATTCGTGGGAAAGGGAGAAAGGCAACACATATAACCTAACATCTGTAAACCCCCATAATGGTGCGAAATTAAAAGTAAATAAATTAAAAACAAAAAAAAAACAAAAAAACTCTTTTATTTTAGTTTAACGACAAACACAATCAACCTACTATTCCCACAAAACAAACACAAAAGGACTGCCACACACACACATACCATTTTTAGGCGATCTCTGTTACCATATTCCAATAACCAATTAAATTGAATTCAGAAATCTTTCCTTAATATTCAAGTTTAGATGGCTGAGTTAACTTACTTTTCACTTCAATATATGGTTATCACTAATATGATACATGACCAACTCTATTCATTTATAGATTCTTTCTGTACATCCTCCTTTTCTTAAGATCGATGCACATTAAAGCTATAACTGGAAAGGCATATAATAACACACACAAAATGTTATTTGAAAAAACTAAAATTTATTTTAATTTACTGCACAGTATTCATAGGAATGTGTAAGATATATGTACAAAGAGAGGTTTCAATACAATGGTGAAAACACATAAATTTTTAAATAGAGATTTATTTATAAGATAAATAAAGAATAAATCAGATAGGGATGAAAAAGAGATGAGGTACTAGAAAAATTCTAGCCTCTGTCATAAGAGATTCAAAGTAAATTAACTAAAAAGTGATACAAAGAATGCATGAAGTACACTGATGAGAAGAATCCAAAATATATCAATCTGGGAATTTGCCACAGAGCAATCAGCTGTCCCCCTTCCATCCAGAGAAAGGGGAGACCTTTGCAGCCCTAGTCACTTACAAATCTTGCAATATAAAAAACTGTCTTCGCACCTCCTGTTTCAAGTCCTTTTAAAATATAAACACCATAGGAAAGTAATTCTGCAAATATGTCTGGAACATTCTAGCATATTTAAGTGTAAATAAAAGGATTCAGCATAGGGGCAATGGAAGTAGTGAGGACTGTCACACCCTTGTTAATAGCCACTGATTCCTTTGCTGAAGGCTTAACATAGATGAAGATGCAGCTTCCATAGGTGATGGCGACCACAATTATGTGGGAAGAGCAGGTAGAAAATGCCTTTTTCCTTTGCTTGGCAGAAGGAAATTGTAGAATGGTCTTAATGATGTATACGTAGGATAGAACTACACATACAAGGGTCATGATAAAGGTCAACACAGCACAGCCTATGACCATCTGCTCTATGAGCCATGTTTCTGAGCAAGAGATCTTTAGGAGCGGGGATGCATCACAGACAAAATGGTCGATAACATTAGAGTCACAGAATTCCAGATTTAGACCCAGGCTAAGGGGTGGGAGTATGATCAGCAAGCCAGCTGTCCAGCAACAAAGAATGAGTTTTCTACAGTTCTGGTTGTTCATGATGGTCACATAATGCAGGGGTTTGCAGATGGCCACGTATCGGTCATAGGACATGGTGGCAAGGAGAAAAAATTCTGTTACACCAAAAAGATCAGTAAAAAAAATTTGAATGGCACAGTTGTTATATGTAATTGTCTTGTCACCTGTTGATATGTTGTACAGGTATCTGGGAATACAGGCAGATGTAAATGAGATTTCTAAAAACGAGAAATTTTGTAGGAAGAAGTACATGGCAGTTTTAAGGTGTGAATCCATGAAGGTGAGGGAGATGATTGTCAGGTTCCCAGTTACACTCAACATGTAAGTGAGAAATAAAAAGATGAAAATCACAACCTTCAGTTGTGGATCATCAGTCAGTCCCAGCAGGATAAATGTTGTTATTGTATGGTTTCTCATCATTTGCTTCTTCCCAATCTGCATTTAAAATTCAGATATATTTGCATAGAGTGGTAATTAATGGAGGGAAAACTATGTAAAATTATTTACATGCACTTAAAAATGTTGTTTCCGACATAATAAATAATACACTGATAGCTTTAAGTTATACGATTGTGTGTTTGGTGTGTGTGATTTCAGGGGATATTGAAAAATCGGATTACTTTATACTGCATTCCAAAATATTAGGGGTGATTTCTTCTCATCACATATTTATCATTTTATATTTCACTTTAACCACACCTTGGATTTAAGTTTTTCCGTTTTGAATGCTAATATTTTGTGAAATCAAGAGTTCTTCCCAGCCAGGCGCGGTGGCTCACGCCTGTAATCCTAGCACTCTGGGAGGCCGAGGCGGGCGGATTCCTCGAGGTCAGGAGTTCGAAACCAGCCTGAGCAAGAGCAAGACCCCGTCTCTACTATAAATAGAAAGAACTGAATTGACCAACTAATATATATAGAAAAAATGCAGCCGGTTGCTTATTTGCAGTTATGTTTTTGTACATCTAAGCATATTATTCATGATGCTGTGAGCCTTATGATGTAATAAAAATTCCTCAGTATATTCAGGTCTTACCTATTATATATAATCTTCTTTCTCAAGCACAACTTTTCATTCTTTCTACAGACTTGCACAGTAAAGTAAAAGCTGAATTTGTTTATGCTGAAAAAATGTGAGAAAACACATTATGTCTTTAAAATATGTGAAAAGACTAGAGTAGGAAAAGAGATTATCAGTAACATGAAAATTTCCATAGGTAGAGTTAAAATCAATTAGTGAAAATTCATCTTAAGTAAAACATTTTTCTCTTAAAAAATGTTTTTCTGAAGTCTACAGTGCTTCCTATAAAGTAGGATTCTCTGCTGCTTGTGAGTAGAGAGAAGTCTTTAAGCACAGAGAATGGTCACACTTTATCAGGAGAATTATGTAATCATTACGTGTGGGAAGAATTACTCATTCATAAAGAGCGTTTCTTTGCTATTAGATGCTATTGATTCTACAGACCAATTTATACTTGAAAAAACTGTATTTTCATTATTAGTCTTCTGGACAGTCCTCATTAACTTTTCTATGTTTAAAAGATAAGCAAAATTTTTTCAAGCTGTATTACATTATGCATAATTATTTTATAAATACCATGTAAATAAGTTCTAAAGTAAATATATTATATTTTTCTGCGTTTCACACTACATTT